AAACCCTAAACCCTAAACCCTAAACCCTAAACCCTAAACCCTGAACAGGGCTTAAGGTTTAGGGCTTCTGGGGTATCAGGGTTTAGGGTTCTAGGGTCTAGGGTTTAGGGCTTAAGGTGGATCCTCCGAAGAGCCTCGAGGAGTCCAAGGCTGTAGTTCCCGGAATTGGAGGAGTTTAGGGTTCAGGGTTTTGGGTTTTGGGTTTCGGGTTTAGGGTTTAGGGTTTAGGGTTTAGGGTTTAGGGTTTAGGGTTTAGGGTGTAGCACGGGTCAGCTGAACGCAATAGTGTGAAGACATGCCCACCCCAAGGCCACCCTATCACAACTCACTGCGAAACCAAACCGGAGCAGCCAAAACCAAGCCAGCCATTCAAAATCCGCGAAACCGGAGCCAGCCCAAACTAAGGCAACCATTCTCGGAGGATTCTGAAACTAGTTAGAACAGCCCAAGCCTTTAGTGACTAGACTTCTGGGTTTTTCTTGGGGCCATAAGGCAAAGGATTCACAGAAAACTCAGGCGTGAACTTGCAGGTTGTGGGTCACTTGGGTCCATAAGGCAAAGGACTCTCCTTCAGGTTTGCGCGAAGGGGACGGTCTGGGCCGAAGGGCCCTCTCAATGAGGTGCGAAGAGGTTGCACAGACAGGGGTGCAGTCTTGGCAAGAACCAGAGCAGAGCAGGGCGGAGCCAGGGCCAGGGGCCAGGGGCAAGGCCCAGAGCCAGGGCCCCGAGCCAGGCCAGGGCCAGGGCAGGTCAGGCCAGAGCCACAGGGCCACACAGGTCAGGGCCAAAGCCAGGACAGGGCCAGAGCCAGGGCCAGAGGCAGGGCCAGGCCCAGGACCAGGGCCAGGGCCAGAGCCAGCACCAGAGCCAGGACCCGGCCAGGGCCGGGCCACAGCCAGAGGGCAGGGCAGGGCCGGGCCACGGACGGCCAGGGTCAGGGGCCAGAGCCAGGGCCAGGGCCAGGGCCAGGGCCAGAGCCAGGGCCAGGGCCAGGGCCAGGGCCAGGCAGGGCCAGGGCCAGCGCCAGCAGGGCCAGGGCCAGGCCCAGGGCCACAGTCAGGGCCAGGGCCAGAGCCAGGGCCAGGGCCAGGGCCAGAGCCAGGGCCAGGGCCACGGCCAGGGTCAGGGCCAGGGCCAGCGCAGGGCGCGCCTGAACCCGCCGCCCCCCCTCAAAGCTCTGTTGGGGTAGGCGGGCGCAGTCGAGCGGTCAGCGAGACCAGGGCAGGCTCTGCTGGGCTGCAGAGCCTGCCAGCCGCACCCCTGAGGGGTCGCCAAGCTAGAGTCGCCTAGCATAGTCACTATTATATTGTATTACCCTAAAACCCTGGGAGGGGATCCTTTTTCCATTTGCCTGGCCCTGGCCCTGGCCCTGGCCCTGGCCCTGGCCCTGGCCCTGGCCCTGGCCCTGGCCCTGAAGCCCTTGCCCTGGTTCTGGGTTTAGGGGGTGCCTCAAACTCCTTGTCCAAACCCAATGAACAATGGGTCAAGGGACTAAAGGAGGCCTTGTAAGGGACATCAGGGGTTATTTAGGGGGGATTCAGGGTCTACTTAGGTATATAGACAGGGACTGTAACAGGTGTAAAGGGGTTATATAGGGGAATAAGATTAAGGGTCCTTCGACCCCTTAAATGGGTAGCTTGGTAGAGGTACACTCGGGTCTGGGCACCGGGTGTCATTTGTGTAGCTTACGTCAAGCTGTCGCTCGGGATAATGATGAGAGGATTCGGTACTCACATATGGGGTTTCCGAAATGGGCTACCCTCGCTGGGGGTTCCTATACTAGTCAGGATTATGCCTCTTAGGGGGTGTCTAAGGGGTGCCCCTCAAGAACATCACGTACCCAGACCCGCACTTGGAGGTCCAGGGTACGTATAAACCCAAATATTTCTGTACTTGTAAGCCCCCTAAGTCTCCGAAGCAGCTTATAAGTAGACCTACAATTGGGATGATAAGTACCCCTAAACCAACCCTAAACCCTAAGCCCTAAACCCTCAACCTTAAACCTCTCCAGGTGCCCATGAACCTCCAAGCGGCGGAACCCCAAAAAAATCGCACCCGCCCGAGGAAGCCGGGGCCCAAAAAGCGCGGCGGAGGGGCACGAGTGTGCATGACGTCAGTTTGGCTGACCCTGGATCGGAGGTCGGGTCCGGTTTAGGGGGGCCTAGGGCTTAGGGTTGCGGGTTTAGGGCTTAGGGCTTAGGGTTTCGGGTTCAGGGTTTCCGACCGGGCATCCTAGTAATGACAAGAGAGCATGGCCACCAATGGCAGCACTACTGGTACATGCAGCCAGAGAAGGCACTATAACAAAGCTTGCAGCTCAAGCCCCCCCCAAACCCGAAACTGCACGGGCTGAACCCTAAACTTGAAAACTCGGGCCCTAACCCCCAAACTCAGCACCAAGCGGAAACAAAACAAGGTTTGGAATTCAACGTGAATTAACTAGACAGGTGACGAAAAAGAAGCCCGAAACCCCATTATCTGAACTCTTCTTGCTGGCAGCTATGTCACGAGCCCCCCCACAAAGCAAGTGACTAGGCTCGCCCTTTAAACTCCCTGAAACAGGTTGTTCATCATGTTCCTCTTTGGCAAGGCAAGCACAATCTGTTACAAGGGCCTGCCCTAACCCGAAACACTAAACCGGAAAACCAGCGTATAAACTTACAAAATTAGCCCTGAAGCACTCGAAAGGGCAATAAGGGCCTACTCTGTAGATGAGTGGAGCACGTTCCTAACGCATTAGACCTGGTCTGGGGCCTGAAAGCTCACCCCAAAAACCTCCGACAGGGTTTAGGGTCTAGGGTTTGGGGTTTAGGGTTTAGGGCTTAGGGTTTAGGGTTTAGGATTTGGATTAGGGTTTAGGGCTCAGGGTTCAGGGTTCATGGTTCAGGGTCCATAGTTTCCCAATCCCATGACCTAAACCTCTTGAGCATCGAATTCTATAAGGCGTCCTCCCATGGTAGGCCCATTAACACCAGCCCTGGGCCCAGTAATATAGATATAGATATATATATATATATATATATTTACTTATTTATTTTTTTATATTTATATATTTATGTATTTATGTATACATGTTTACATTAACTATCCGCAACATACCTACTACAACTACAGAAGCCTTATAAGACATACCTCCGTCCCGTGACGTGAGAGCAGGGAGCCTCAGTGGACGCTTGAGGTCCCCACGGCCAAGAGTGACCCCCTAAGATCCACTACCACCGCCCTGAGCCATCAGCCACAGTTTTGGTTTTGTGGGGTTTAGGGTTTAGGGTTTAGGGTTTAGGGTTTAGGGTTTAGGGTTTAGGGTTTAGGGCTTCACGGATGACGGGAGCTGCGTTGAGGATTTTAGGTTCAGGGCCTAGGGTTTATGTCAAATGCTCATGGCTGTCGTTCTAAGTTGCAGCACATCGACGCCGGGGGTTCCGTAGAACAACACCCATGAGCCTTCGATTCGCCTGACCCAGGGGAGTATAAGGAAACCCCAACCCTAAAAAAGGAAATAAGGGCCTACTCCAAGTCCTAGTAGCTCTCAACTTCTTAAACAGAGGAACGCTACCACGTATGTGCCAGGATTCGGAGTTTTAGTGTATCGAGAAGAGGGTAAATTGAGAGGGGGGAAGCCAGGGGTGAATCGAAATGATGTGTCCTGCTCGGTAGCTTCAACTTCTTGAGGAAATACCGACCCATGCAACCTCCTTAAAACCTAGACCCTGAACCCTGACCCCTAAATCCCCTAAACTCGTTTGAAGCCCAACTACGCAACCCACATTCCCTAGCACACTGGGAACAAGCGGCAAAGTTTCTATTGGGCCTGATGGGATTTGCAAAGGAACCTAACCATTCCCGACAAACATGCGAAGAAGTGTACCGCGGGGCATCCGAGGTACTTAACAACCTAGGTAACCTCTCCCTAAGGATCCATGTACCTACACAGCCTGATATTCACGGGGTTCCTATATAGTAGCTTTAGGGCCCAAGTACATACTATATAGGTACGTGGATCCTTAGGGACTTCTCAAACCAAATACGGGAGAAGAAGTGCAACTCCAAAAGGCTCAGAAGTTGGGAAGGGGATGGAGCGTAGAGATTATAGGGTTTCGTCCAGAGGCGTTCGGGCTTAGGAATGTTCACGCTGCAATGCTTTGCAAAAACTTTCCTGTGGAAGGCTCCAAGAAAGACCCCACAAGGGCAACACTTTGGTGCACTTTTCTGTCAGAACGCAACGATGCCTCCCGAGAACTCCCTGAATACCCTCATCAGTACTCCTGAAAAAGCTTCCGCCTCTGACCAGACCTGCAAGAGTTGCCAATGTGCTGTCGGACTGGCCGAAGATAGAAACGAAGGGCACACGCACTGATGGGTACCCGTTGGAGAGCACAGGAGGGCTCGCAGCATCGACATAAATCACCCTGCACCAACAGAGTCTTTGCCGGTTTCCTGTCGTCTTCTTCGGTGCCGAACTCACGTACCATGTCTGGCACTGCCCTGCCAGCCACAGCGCGATCAACGCGATGTCTCACCTCCTTCAAGAGGTTTTGCACGGAGCAACTTGCCTACTCGAACGGAGAACGGAGCCGTCATTTGCAAAGGGTATACCATCCACAATCCTGTGTCCCAAGTCCTTGTCTCGGAAAGCTGACCCATGGATCTGCTGCCTGGTCACCTCGTTAGAGGCTTCAAAGTTCCTGATTATGAAACTTCCCAAATACAAGCTCTGCGAATTTTCGGGGGCAGCTCTCCTGATCCTTCTAGAACCTAGAGACTCCAATACTCCTTAACTAAGGAATATTCCGTGAACCATATCAAAAACCGATGAAAACTTGAGGTATATTCCCTAATTAAGTGGTATTGGAGTCCCTGGGAATATAATGTGCTGCTGCCTGCAGCCGTCCATCGCTGGCCATCTCGTATGGCTTCTGAAGACCCTCGTACTTGCAGCCGAATTGAAGATGCCAGTGCTGAGCATGCCGGGAAAGCGCGGGCGTAGGCTGCAAAGCACGCTAGAAGCCCAGCGTCTCTCCAACACGTTCTCCGTCTTCGACCTCGGCAAGACAAGCCAGAGCTAAGTGCTTTCCCTAGACACGTCAGAGAGCCCCGGTGTTCGACACCTAAACCACCCTCCCCCCAACGAGGCTGCCCAGCATCCATACGATGATCAGGGCACATTCGTTAGCTTAGGGTTTAGGGTTTCCGTTTTTGGGTTTAGGCCTTGCTACATGACCAAAACAGCCCCCGGAATGCAAAAGGCGTACCGCTCAGCTTTCCCAGCGAGCCATGGACCCGCCAAAAACGCCAAAGCCACACGACACAGCCTCAAAGCCTTATTTAGGGCCATTTAGGGTTTCAGGCTTTAAGGTTTTTAGGGGCGATAAGTGGTTTAAGGGCAACAAAGTTTTTCTAAATTCGTTAAGGGCTTTAAGCGGCATAAGTATAAGGGTCTTGAGGGTCGTAAAGGCTAAGGGTTGGCCCCCAAAACCATAAACCCTAGCCCTCTTTTCAGGTAGTATTTAGACCTTATAGTACTCGTGGGCAATGGTTATTTTCGTGGGCAATGGTCTTAGCTCATGCTCACTCTATTTGGGGGGGTTTGATTGAAGGGGGGGGGGTTTATTATTACTAGGTCAACATTAGCTCGAGCGGCAGCATTCCCGTTGTTAGGCAGTAGACCTGCTCGAAAGAATACCTGCAACGCACCCCTTGACGGCTGATGCAGTCGTGCAGCTTCAAGTGTCTGGGTCAACTGATCTGGCCGCTTCCCTCTTTTTCAGATAGCATTTAATACTTTTTGTGTTCACGGGCAATGGTCAAAACTCGCAGGCAATGGTCAAACTCGCGGGCAATGGTCAAAACTCTCGGGTAATGGTCAAAAACTCGCGGGCACTGGTCAAAACTCGCAGGCAAAATGGTCAAAACTCGCGGGCAATGGTCAAAACTCACGGGCAATGTTCAAAACTCGTGGGCAATGGTCACCGGGAAATGGTCCCTTCGTGGGGAAATGGTGACGGGTAATGGTCAACGGGAAATGGTGAACCCCCCACCCACCCCCCCCCCCCCCCCCAAGAAAAAAGCAAAAAAAAACCTCGACAAATGGTCACGGAAACCTAAACCCTAAACCCTAAACCCTAAACCCTAAACCCTAAACCCTAAGCCCTAGCCCTAAACCGAAGCCCGCTAAAACCCTGAGCCCATCGCCTCACACCTATAGGACTCGAGCCCTCAACCCTTTAAGCCCTCAACCGAAAAACCTACAGGTCGAAAAGGTTGAGGGTTTAGGGTTTAGGGTTTAGGGTTTCGGGTTTAGGGTTTAGGGTTTCGGGTTTAGGGTTTAGGGTCCAAAAGCCCTGAACCCGAAAGCTCGAGACTCAGCCACGACGGGTCGCTGAGCCGCAAAGCCCAAACCCTAAACCTTACCTAGCTGACGCCCTCAATTCAAGCCCTGTTGAAAGTCCTAAGCCTTAAACCCTAAACCCTCAACCATAACCGCGAAAAAGCCCCAAACCCTCCAACCCCCCCCCCCCCCCCCCCCCCCCACCAAACACCCCCCCCCAAACACCCCCCCAAAACCCCCAAAGCCCTAAATCCCCAAACCCTAAACCCCAAACCCTCAAAACCCTCAGCTCAAAAATCCGCAAGCTGAGCCAGGGACAACGACCGGAGCAAGGGCCTGTGACTCATCCCGCGCCCTTTGATTCACAGGAGGCTTCGGGTGTAGGGCTTCGGGCTTGGAGTTTAGGGTTTAGGGTTTAGGGTTTAGGGTTTAAGGTTTAGGGTTTAGGGTTTAGGGTTTAGGGTTTAGGGTTTAGGGTTTAGGGCTTAGGGTTTAGGGTTTAGGGTTTAGGGTTAGGGTTAAACACCAGGAACCACATTGCAATAGGGGTACCCTATTTCTTGCGCTAGGTCTTTTTTAAAGGGAACCTTGAACCACAAGAAAGGAAAAGGGTACCACTGGGCGACCAAGGGCTTGGAGTTTAGGGTGGTAGAGTTAAGGAGTTTTGTCTATAACTTTTGTTTGAGGGTTGAGGGTTTAGGAACTATATTATCCAGATTGTAGGGTTGAGGGTTGAGGGTTTAGGACCTACGTCTAGGGCTTAGGGTTGAGGGCTTTCGGAACAAGGCAAAGCGCCAGGAATGGCTAATGGTTCGCGGATACATGATCGCGACATTCGGGTGTCTCAGAAACGAACACCAACCCTAAACCCTAAACCCTAAACCCTAAACCCTAAACCCTAAACCCTAAACCCTAAACCCTAAGCCCATACTTAAGGGGTCCTCGGTTCTCCAGCAACCTAAGGAGATGCGAGGATGCAATTGTTGCATTTCCAAAACACAGAAAGGGAAGCAGGGTGTACTACTTCGCATCCCAAGGGTTTAGGGTTTAGGGTTTAGGGTTTAGGGTTTAGGGTTTAGGGTTTAGCTCTGAACCCTAGACTTGGGATATGCCCCCTTATACTAACAGTCCTGAATAGGGATTCTAGTGTCCCCTATTAGAATCCCCATTAAGGACCATTAGTATGAGGGGGAACATCCCAAGCCTAAACTCTGAACTCTGAACCCGAAATTTATCTTCAACTCTAATTAAGCCCAAACTAAACCCTACACCCTGGACTTTAACGTTAAACCCTGAACCCTACGGTCTAAACCCGAACACCCCCGGAACCCTAAGCCCAAAACCGTAACCCTAAACCCTAAACCCCTTTACCCCTAAGCCCCTAAGCCCCTAAACCCCTAAACCCCTAAACCCCTAAGCCCCAAAAACCTGCTCGCTTGAGCCAAGGCTCTTCCGTGCGCGGCTCGCGCGCAGCGACGCGGCGAAACGGTTTTCACGACTGCGCTCCTGGGCGGGGGCAGAAGTCAGAATCGAGGCTTTCAGAGGTTTCGGGGCGTAGGGTGTAGGCCCCGTAAACCCGAAAAAACCCCGAAACGGCTTAGTTTAGGGTTTAGCAACTAGTAAACCCTAAACCCTAAACCCTAAACCCCAAAACGGATTAGTTAGGCTTAGTTTAGGAGGGCATGCTTCTGGAGCTTGGGGTAGTTCAGAGGTGACGAGCGGGAGAAGATGTGGAGTTAAACGTTGCGGAATCCACGAGCTTGCGTCTGCAGAAGAAGCAGCTGCCACGAGAAAGTCCTAAAGGATTAGGGTTTAGGGTTTAGGGTGTAGGGTTTAGGACTTAGGGTCGTTATGGTGCCCTTTTTGGGGTCGGATGTTTCGGAGTGGACACTTGCCTTGGGTCTCGTTTGTGGTATAGCAGTATCCCGAAATGAGCCTCCTCCAAAGAACTGACCATATTGGGGGGGGGGGGGGGGGGGATGGCAAGATGGCAAAGAGACGGTGCAAGAAGGGTGCTGGCAACAATGAGTCCAAATCCTGAAGGCCCAACCCTAAACCCTAAACCCTAAACCCTAAACCCTAAACCCTAAACCCTAAACCCTAAACCCTAAACCCTAAACCCTAAACCCTAAACCCTAAACCTAGGCCTTGCCAACGAAGCCTTCAGCCCCAAGCCCAAGAGCTTTCCCCCTCAGGGCCCTAAACTCCACATGATGTTTCTTTTCGATCTGAAGTCCCTCTAAAGGCGTTTCTTTGGAAAATCGCAATCTTGGAACATGACATCTAAACCCTAAACCCTAAACCCTAAACCCTAAACCCTAAACCCTAAACCCTAAGCCCTCAGCCCTAAGCCCTAAACCCTAAACCCTAAACCCTAAACCCTAAACCCTAAACCCTAAACCCTAAACTTCAACTCAGCTCTAAGCCCTTCAACTCAGCTCTAAGCCCTACAGGCAATAAACCCTGAGCCCAGGTGCTGCGTAGCTCTCCTGCAGCTCCTCCACCTCTACGATTCGGGTATGGGGGGGGGACTTACCCTAAACCCTAAACCCTAAACCCTAATGTTGCACCCGGTTTAGTGTGGGGGGCCCCCCCCCCCCTGAGCAGTCGCGGGGGTGGATGGGATCCTGATTACACGGCCCGGTGGCTCATATATGATTTTAATAGGGAGGAGTTTAGATAGGTTCAAAAGGGGCAGCGATGCCCGGTTATCTTTTTTAAAGGCGCGCCACGTGGAATTTTCTTACGGCGCCCGGACGATTTGTCTTTAAAGAGGGACTCCCAAACAGTCAGCATGTCCTGAATAATTCGGCCAGTTTGTCTTTAAAGCGGGGGCCGATACTAAACCGGGTGCAACATTAAACCCTAAACCCTAAACCCTAAACCCTAAACCCTAAACCCTAAACCCTAAACCCTAAACCCTAAACCGTGACCCTAAACCCTAAACCCTATACGTTTAGGGGTTTGGGGGTTTGGGGCTTCCAGGGTTTCCGGGGTTTAGGTGTTGAAGGGTCTAGGGAGTAAGGGTAGTATGGAAACTGAGGTTTCAAGGTTACCCCCTCTGCACCTAGCTCGTGTCCATTAACATCAGCGCGTTACGGCTTTTTCGGCGGAACCTTTCAGCGGTTTCGGACGCTGCCTTTTCGCAGTCTCTCGGTATTCTTACATAAGCTCGCTCCTGAGGCCGCGATCACTTGCAAGCGCAGTGTCCTCAAAATGATAGTCCCTTCTCTGGGCGTGCGATTTCATGAGGCTCCCAAAGTTATGATAGGACCTGCAACCGGAAACCGAAAACCTAGGAACCTGCAAAGGGACCAACGTTTAGAGAAGTGCGCAAGTGCCGTACACTTCCCTTAGAAGCATCATAAACAAAAAATCTATATCCCTTTGCGATTTTATCACAAAAACCCTCGGACTTCAAAATATCAAAAAGACATACTTCCTGAGGGATCCCTAAACCCTACATTCTAAACCCTAAACCCCAAACCCCAAACCCCAAACCCTAAACCCTAAACCCTAAACCCTAAACCCTAAACCCCAACAAGGGAACTACAGCGCCTCCTCCAACTGAAGGTCGCCCTCGTGGGGAGCCAGGCCCAGTGCCTTCCGCAGTTGCTTGCTGCCGGGCCGTAGGTTATTCGGGTTTAGGGTTTAGGGTTTGGGGTTTAGGGTTTGGGGTTTAGGGTTTGGGGTTTAGGGTTTGGGGTTTAGGGTTTAGGGCATATTCGGGCAGCCCAAACCCGAACCCTGAACCACAAAAACCCAAACTCTAAGACTGCGAGCATTTTGGCTTGGGAAACACAGGGTGCAGGGCGTTGGACTACTAGAGCCTACTTTGGAGTAGATCCTGGAAAAAAGTATATACTTTTTAGGGATAAGTAGCTATAGTAGGAACCTAGAAACAAAAAAGGTATCATAGTATAGTACTCCAAAAACTCAGTAGCGATCTGCACCTAATGCAGTGACCCTAAACCCTCAACTCCACGCCCCAAACCCTAATATAGGGGCCTAATAATTAGAATACGGTTTTGGGGGTATGCGGACCGAAGTCTGTGCGATGAAGGTGAAACAGAGTGTTTTGTACACTCACAAGAATGTCATTCAAGACTCATACTTTAAAGGATGTAAACAATGCGTTGTAAGGAAGCCTCAACAGCAAGGAAAGAGTTGTGCCATTCGCGGCAGGTCGAATCAGCAAGGTCGGTAGCCCGCGGGCAAGTTCTCAGAATAGGTTTTCTTTTCTTTTTTTTTTTTGGGGGGGGGGGGGGGGGGGGTTATTCTAGTATATATAAAGGGGGTTATTCTAGTTCGGGTTTTAGGGGGTTATTCTAGTATATATAAGGGGCCATCAGGGAAATGTATTAGCAAATGTTCCGACCCCTAGAGTACCCCGTAAACTCTAACGGTAGAGGGCGCGAGTTGGGGATTGATTTAGTTCAGGTAGAAGCCCTGCGGGTTTAGTGTTCAGGGTTTAGGGTTTAGGGTTTAGGGTTTAGGGTTTTGGGTTTAGGGCTAGAATTCCGCCTTAGTTGCAGCATGCTAGCGACTGGGTGTGCTCATCGTTCTACAACTACCCCAGAAGCTTCAGCAAGGGTGTGTCGCGCCAACAGCACGCTGAACTAAAAAAGAAAACTTCAGGCACTGTAGCCGCTGATCCTGGCCGAGTTTGCAGAAGGATTCAGACAGCCACTTGAGCAATTGGCACCTCCTGCGACGCCTACAGGTCCCGACAGCAGCCAAACTCCTCCAAAACATCTCCGGTCAAGCCCTACACGCTCCCACAACCTGAGGTTTAGGGTTGAGGGTTTCGGGCTAGCCAATCAAGAAACGCAGGCCAGCTGCCTCACGCCGTCGGAAGGCAGCAAAGTGAACGCAAACTGCCACGGCCACAGACACATTGAGGCCTTGCCGGCAGATTTGCTGACTAGGCTGAACCTGACGAAGCCCTAAACATCCTCTAGTTCTATTTAGTTCTAAAGGCCGGGCAACAAATCGGAAAGAAAAGATTTGCAGGTTGGTGCAGTGGCCGGGAGATGCCATCGTTTGAGGCATCCCCACCTGTCACCTGTTTTCTTGCTGCGGATGGGCCATGTCCCCAGATTTTAGGGTTTAGGGTTTAGGGTTTAGGGTTTAGGGTTCAGGACATAAAGTTTGCAAAAGCATCGGAACCCTTTGAACAAGCGCTGGCCAAGAATGCAAACCCCAAAAGGTCCAAGTACTTGGGTTTTGGGGTCCAGGGTTTAGGGGCTTGGGGACTTTGGGAAACCCTACACCCTAAACCCAACCCGAAACCCTTAACCCTTAAACCCCCGCAACCACAGAAACCCCTAAACCCCCAAACCCCCCAAACCCAGTACCCCTATACCCTCCAGAAACCCCTAAACCCTCCACCCTAAGGCTCCGACCGCAAACTCTAAACCTGAACCCTGAACCCAACATCCGAAACCCCTAACCCCTAAACCCTCCCCACCTAAGCCCCCTAAACCCTGAACCCCAAACACCTAAACCCCTAAACCCCTAAACCCTAAACCCTAAACCCTAAACCTAAACCCTAAACCCTCCACCCCAAGGTGCCGAGGTGCTCTCACTCAGACCCGGCAATGGCACCGTGAAGGTCGCATCGCAGAGCTCCAGCGCCTCTGAGGAGATGCCCCAGGCCTCGGATTCACCAAAGCTCGTCGCTGTTACCAGCCCTAAACCCTAAACTTAGGGTTTAGAGGATTAGGGTTTCGGGTTTAGGGTTTAGGGTTTAGGGCTCAGGGTTTAGGGTTTAGGGTTTGGGGTTTGGGGTTTAGGGCTTCTAGGTTTCTAGGGTTTCTAGATTTTCTGGGGTTTCTGGGGCTTACAGGAACGTTTCCGGGGATGAGAGCCTTAGAGACCCAATAAGAGTACGTCTGTAAATTGGGTCCCTTTTGGGGTCCTTGCTTTAAGGGTGCAGCACTAGAAAGGGGACCCAAAAAGGCACCCTAACTTAGAGAACTACCCAACAAGGGGAGGTGCGACAGCTTAGCTCTTCGAAGAACCCTAATTACACCCCAAACCCTAAACCCTAAACCCTAAACTCTAAACCCCAAACCCTAACCCCCAAACCCTAAACTTACCCTTTGAGGACCCCTTTAACAGCCGGCCTCCGAGCCGAACAGCAGCGCCGTCGGCCGGTCGAAGCGCAGCGACTCCAAGGGCAGGGGCTGGCGCCCTGCCAGGGAAACGCTGTCAACCCCCAGGGCGTAGGGATGTAGAGGTGGCTTACCCTAAACCCCAAACCCGAAACCCGAAACCCTAAACCCTAAACCCTAAACCCTGTAGGATTTAAGGTGGGGTCGAAGCCCTGAAGCCTACGGTAGTTTAGGGTTTAGGGTTTAGGGTTTAGGGTTTAGGGTTTAGGGTTTAGGGTTTAGGGTTTAGGGTTTAGGGTTTAGGGTTTAGGGTTTAGGGAACCCCGAAAGGACGCCTCAGAAATGCCCAAAATGGCCCGGTCTCAATCATGGGCCCTTTATCTACTACTCGCTTAAGAACCCCCCCCCCCAAAAAAAAAAATCACAAAATGATCCTCCTTATAAAGGGCAATAGAGGGATTTTCATCTGGTTTAGGCGGTTCTTAAGCAAAAGGTAGTGCAAGTGTGCCTGAGCAACGTTTAGGTCACCATAAAAAGTTTAGGGTACAAGAAATGGCATAAAATTTCGATGCACCCTTCGTAAACTAGACGGTTCATTGGAACTGCGCCCCTCAACCCTAAGCCTAAACCCTAAACCCTGAAACCTAAACCCTAAACCCTAAACCCTAAACCCTAAACCCTAAACCCCTAACATCTTGAGCGTTCAGCTGATCTTGCGGACTCAAAAAGCGCTCTGTCGACCTTTCCCAGGAGGCACGGCAGCCAACAGCGCATGCTGAGATGCCTGCCGTCCGTTCTTGCAGGGGCTACCGAACCCCCCCCCCCCCAATAACCCTAAACCCTAAACCCCACAACCCTAAACCCCAAAACCCTAAACCCTAAACCCTTAACCCTAAACCCCCAAAAAGCATGATTCTCTTAACGGGTCTTCTGGGAAGGCCGCAGGTGCCCATCTTCAACAGCGCGGGCCCTGCCACCACAGCAAGCACAATGCTGCCAACACCTTCGGCCCCCTATAAACTCAGAACCTGAAACCCCTAAACCCTAAACCCTAAACCCTAAACCCTAAACCCTAAACCCTAAACCCTAAACCCTAAACCCCTAAACCCTTAACCCTAAACCCTAAACCCTAAACCCTAAACCCTAAACCCTAAACTCTAAAGCCTAAACGCTACCCAGAGTAACCTATGTAACATACCTTTACACAGGGAAACCGCCGCAATCATTGGTCTGTGTCTTTAGTAAACCATGAAGCTCTCAAGCAGCTCCGTCGGGGCCTTCAGAGAGGTGAGGCACTCGCGGATGTCCGAGTGCTGGTGAAGAGTCAGCCACTTCTCCGCACCGTTGACGATGCCTAGGGCATATACTTGTATGGTCGCTTCTCTGAATTATGGCCCCTTTTGGGGGTTACTATCATAAGGCGGCCCCTAGGGTTTCCGAAACTAAGGGTACCTTGTTGGGGTCATTATGATAAGGAAGTCCTATTATTTGCGGGTCTATAATTGGGGTTCCTTGTTTTCGTAAGCCCCATAGTGTTTAGAACTCACTGAAATCACGCAAGACATCGCGAAAGTGCTCCAGCAGCCTACGTAGTGCCTGCGCAAGTGATCTAGCGAATTCGACTGCTGTAGGATATCATATCTGACTAGGCGCAAGATCATCAGAGGGAATGTGCGGAGGGGATATGTCGCCTCAGTACAAAAACATACAGAATGGCCCCAGACATCTAAACTCCAAGCCCAAATCCCAGACCATATGCCCCAAATCCCATACCCTGAACCCTGAACCCTAAGCCTCGAGCCAGAAAATCCGAAATCCCTCCAGATTTTTCTGAATTCCAGCCCTTTACACCCTCTGACAAACCTTCCCCAACAAGCCCGCCTTCAACCTAATCCCTAAACCTATACCCTAAACCCTAAACCCCAAACCCTACACCCAAACACCGAACCCTGACACCCTAAATCCCTAAAGCCTATTAGGTTGGCCCTTAACGTCCTCCTGAAACCATGTTCCTACAGATCATCCCCTGACACCCAACAAGGGACTCCCCAGGGCCTCCCTAGTAGCCCGAAACCCCAAACCCTAAACCCCAAGCCCTAAACACTAAGCCCTAAACCCCAAACCCCCAAAGATAAACCCTAAACCCTAAACCCTACACCCTAAACCCTAAACCCTGGATCCTAACCCTATAGGCCCTAAACCCTGAACCCTAAACCCTGAACCCTAAACCCTAAACCCTGAACCCTAAACGGCCTCTCATGGGTTCAGTGTGATGTGGTCGACCGAGGCGCTCCGCCCCCGAGCAGTGGAGCCGACGCGCAGACGGGAGGAGCGGACCTTGAAATTAGGGTTCCAGGGTTCCAGTGTTTAGGGGTTTTAGGGTTTAGGGTTTAGGGTTTAGGGTTTAGGGTTTAGGGTGTAGGGTTCAGGGTTTAGGGTTGAGGGCTGAGGGTTTAGGGCTTCGGGTTCGGGTCCAGGCTTGGTCCAGGGCCTGAGAGTCTTGGAGTGTGGGGCTTCAGGCTGGGAGTGTGGGGTTTAGGAAAGCTTCGGGGACCATTCTTCGGGCTTTAGGGTTTAGGGTTTAGGGATTAGGGTTTAGGGTCTAGGGTTTAGGGCTTATTGTGTTCGGGCATCAGGATTCAAGGGGGTTCAGGCCGGGGTTGTTTGGCTGTTGGCGCTCGCGGGGTGTAGGTCTGCCCTAAACCCCCAACCCCTCCCAAGCTTTATGCCCGAAAGTGCCTACCCTAAACCCCAAACCCTAAACCCTAAGCTCTCCCTCAATACCGGATAACTAAGAAACAACCGGCCCTAAAGAACAACACTGAACCATCCCTCAACAATCCTACACTCTCCAAAGCCCGAAAACCCACCTAAACCATAAACCTTAAACCCTAAACCCTAATTAAACCCTAAACCCTAATCCCCAAGCTCTCAACACAACAAACCCGCACCTCGTGCACGTGGAGGAGGCCAAAGGCCTTCCCACTTCGCTTGGCTGCTGCTCATGAAGTTACCAGAATATGGCTGATAAAGGGTTTAGGGTTTCAGAAAGGACTGTTGTGAGGCGGAGTTGTTGGGTAGCTTTCAGTCATTTAATAAGGTTTAGGGGTTAGTAAACGCTTACAACTTTAAACTTATGGCCTCACAACAGTCCATTCGTAAGTGGGAATCTTGACCATGATGTTTGGCATACATGATTTGGGGGGTTGGGGGGAGGGGGGGGGGGGGGGGGGGGGGGAGGGGGGTTCCTTGGAAGTGGGGCTATGTGGCAGGGCCCCCCCCCCCCCCCCCCTCCCCCCCCCCTCTCCTCCCCCCCCCCCCCCTCCCCCCCCCCCCACCCCCCCCCCCCCCCCCCCCCCCCCCCCCACCCCCCCCCCCCCCCCCCCCCCCCCCCCATCACCCACACCCCCCCTCCCCCCCCCCCCCCCCCCCCCCCCCCTCAAGCGTAACAGCCGTAGCTGTGCCACAGTTGGTTTGCTTTCACGTATTTCCAGACCTGTTATTCGGAAGTTCCCTGTTTCGAAACACAGCCTTTGTTTCGAAACACAGCCCCTGTTTCGAAACATGGATGTCACAGCCACAACTGCTTCACAAAACGATATCCAATCTCACCTTGGTTCCAGCGCTATATCTGAAGGTTGCGATGTCACATGTGCGAGTAAAAGGATATCTGCTCATAGTATTCTCGCGTCCCCGGGGCCTACAGGACATGTCTTGATGATGTGGGTGCTAATAATGTAGGGTTATAAGGTTAAAAATCCTATAGAGTTTAGCGTTATGACCCTAAACCCTATATGCTTTAAGGCTTAAGGAAAACAGTAAAGTGGTTAATTAAATCACTGAGGGTCTAGGGTTACGTTTTTGCAATGCCCTAACCTTAAACTCTAAACCTTTAACCTCTTATAGGGTTTAAACCCTAAAGGGCTAACCCGGTAGGGTAGATAAACCCTGACCCGAAAGGGGCCCTATAGGGTTTAAGGCTTAACTTAGTTTGAATGCCCAAACTTAAATTTAAATCCCCAGGCCTTAAACCTCTGAAAACCTTATAGGGCTTAAAGGCTTTAATGCCTAAACCTGATGTATTTAAGGTCTGGGCATTTATACATTCAGAATTAGAACCCTAAACCCTTTATGCTGTAAGGCTTAAGGAAAACAGTAGGATTTAAGCCTCAAGGCCTATAATATAAGGTTATAAGGTTCTAATCCTATAGAGTTTAGCGTTATAACCCTAAAGCCTATATGCTTCAATTAAGGCTTAAGGAAAACAGTAAAATGATTAAATCCCTGAGGGTCTAAGGTTACGTTTTTGCAATGCCCTAAACCTTAAACTCTAAACCTTTAACCTCTTACAGGGTTTAAATCCTATAGGGTCAAACCTTTAAAAACCTTATAGGGCTTAACTGTTTTAATGCCTAAACCTGATGTACCTAAGGTGTGGGCATTTATACCTTCAGCGTTATAACCCTAAAGCCTATCTGCTGTAAAGCTTAAGGTAAACAGGAGGGTTTAAGTCTCAAGGCCTATAATATGGGGTTGTATCAAAACCCCGCGCAGTCGATTTTGAAAGGAATTGCCCGAAGCGTTTGGGGCAGTGCTTCTGACTCGTAAAACGATAATCAAGAAAATAAACCGATAACTTTGTAGTAACAGGGCGGGCAGGCGCTATTCCAGTGATAAGCTTGTACTACAAATACATGAAAACACTGAAAACCCAGCCTGCTCAGCTTGCACTACAAATCAACGGAAACCTAGCCGGTTTCAGTACTAAGCTTGTACAACAAATCAATGAAAACCCAGCCCGCTCGCGGGAACATCGGTTCCAAATTGTTGGTTCTTCCAGCAAACTCTGTAAAACGATAATCAAGAAAATGAAACGATAACCCTGGGACGGATGAATAGATTTAACTCGGGGTTGTTATACAACCCCATATAGGGTTATAAGGTTCTTATCCTATAGAGTTTAGCGTTATAACCCTAAACCCAAACACTATATGCTTTCAGGCTTAAGGAAAACAGTAAAGTGATTAAATCCCTGAGGGTCTAGGGTTACGTTTTTGCAATGCCCTAAACCTTAAACTCTAAACCTTTAGCCTCTTATAGGGTTTAAACCCTATAGGGCTGCACTATAGGGTTTAAGGTTTAACCTAGGTTGAATGTCCAAACCTGGATTTAATTCAACCTTTAAAAGCCTTATAAGGCTTAAAGGTTTTAATGTCTAAACCTGATGCACCTAAGGTCAGGGAATTTATACCGTCGGCGCTATAACCCTAAACCCTCGTACATCTGCTTTGCACTCGCGCAACAAAATCAACTTCATCCAAAACACTGCATCACATTCAAAAAAACTCCGCCTCACAACAGTCCCCTCTCTAGGGTTTAGGGTTTAGGGTTTGGGGTTTGGGGTTTAGGGTTTAGGGTTTAGGGTTTATGATCACTAGTGGTGTTCCTTAGGGTCCCTTTGTAAGTATACTACAGCAACCCCCGCTCCCCCAAAAAAAACCCTATTCTAGTCTTTAAGGCCCCCATAGGATGTAGCACGAGTACGCAATATACATATGGGCATCTCAAAGGTATGGTCCTCTCTGGGTACCCTAAATACAAAGGGTCGCCTTATCACAAGGACCCCAAAAGGGGACCTTAATTTGGAGAAGCAACTATGTGGCTTCAGCGAGCCAGCGAGCGAGAGAGAGAGAGAGAGAGAGAGACAGAGAGAGCGGGAGAGAGAGAGAGAGAGTGGAATAAGCCAAAGAGATTGCTTCCATATTCTGAGAGCTTAGTAGGGTTGGGATGTTTCCCCTCAAACTAACAGTCCTTCATAGGGATTATGCCCTATTCTACTCCCTCGTAAGGACTGTGAGTCTGAGGAGGAACATCCCAAGCTTAGGGGTTAGGGTTTAGGGTTTAGGGTTTAGGGTTTAGGGTTTAGGGTTGGGGCTTTTGGGCTCCAATGCTTCGGGGGGCTTCGGGGGTCTAGAGGGTTCCAAGGCGTTCGCAGACTAGGGCGGCAAGGCTGTAAACCTCACCTCAAACTCTCGTGACCTACCGGGTTTAGGGGGTGTTAGGGTTTAGGGTTTAGGGTTTAGGGTTCAGGATTTAGGGTTTAGGGTTTAGGGTTTAGGGTTTAGGGCTTAGGGCTTAGGGTTTAGGGTTTAGGGCTGCCTCGACGCTGCGGAGTATGGCGGCGCGGTTTCCTGGGTCGCTGAGGTCCTGGGAATCAGAAGGCCCTGACCTCCGGGAAGCCTGAACTCCCTCAACTCCCTAGGGTTTAGGGTTTAGGGTTTAGGGTTTAGGGTTTAGGGTTTAGGGTTTAGGGTTTAGGGTTTAGGGTTGAGGGTTTAGGGTTTAGGGAGAGCAAAGATGGGCTGTAGGGCTCAGGGTCGCGCAGGCGGAACTCTTCCAGGGTGCTTAGGGTTCCTGCTTCAGGGTTTCAGGTGTGTGGGGTGAAGGTTCAGGGACGTGCAGAAGCTCCATTCCTCCAGCACGATGCGGACGCCAGAGAGGCGAGAACGCGCGGCAGCCTGCCACAAGGAGTAGGGATTAAGGTCAATCCTACACCCCCCAGCCCGTTTTGGGGTTTACGATTGGGGTTCAAGGAAAGGAGCACCACAAATTGGCGAAGAGGCAGCATGGCGGCCGTGCAGAATCACTCGCGCATGAAATTCTGTCACCTTGTCATGGTTGGCAGTACAGAAGCTAAAACGGTCATGCAAGGCAGCGCAGGACTATGAAGCTCGCGAGGCAGAAGTGCTAGGCAGCACAGCGCCCAGAAGCAGGGCAGTGTTAACTTTCTACAGCCCTTTAAAGATAATGTCCGTTTCTTCCACATTACCCTAAACCCCAAGCCCAACACAACCAGCTGCTTAAGAACCCCAAAAAGTATAAGAATAATTCCTATGCTACCCTTATAAGAAAAACACTTCTGTTTTCATGGGGGGTTCTTAAGCAAATAGCAGAAAACCCTAGAGCCCTCTTCCAACAGAGCCCGCTTCCCCGGGGACTTGATGGTGTATAACTTGAAGTTGGTCATGCAAACCGACCTTTGCCTCATAACACTGAGACCGATGCAACTGCTGACGCTGGTATCGTATGAGCTTTCGGAATTGCCAGCGACTCATGTCAGAAGCCATCTTTTGTCTCCAGGTGCGCTTCATTGGCTTCGGGTGCCTAGGGCTCTGCGGCTCTATTGCCACATTTGTGGCCTTGAGCCCTCACACCAGCGAGAGCAGAATCATTCGACCCGAAAGAAGGGTCAACCGCGCAATACTCCACTGCCTCTTACCGTAGACGTGGAGATCCACACCCCCCGCTTTGCGAGCATGGGGATGTGAGCAACGATTTCGGATCTCCATCACAACCTGCTTGTAGCCTGTATGCTGACGTCACGTTGGTCCACGGGCCTGAATATACACATCCGGGCATCCCATTCCTCGAATTCCTCTCTGATGCCTTTGACTTCTGGTACGTCGCCATCGAGCCTGCGTTCGAGCGCCGTTATCCAGCGCTCGGTGTAGAGTGCACCACAGTGGTACTGGTTAATGATCTCATCCTCCCTGGTCACACGATGTGTTGAAGTAGTCTCGCAGCCCCCCTGCTCCCAGCCTGTTGGTGTCTGAACCATCGCGTTTCCATGGTGTTCATACGCTGGCTCAGACTGGGTAGCAGTGGAAACGGTTTCAGCAGAAAACAGCATTCGAGTAACCAAGGGGCCCCAAAAAATGTCTGGCTTCGGGATCCATGCCTGGAATATACTCTTTGGCCAAACAGCTGATTCGGGAGCGCATCTGTCCAGCATCACTCTGCAAGCCGCCCCTCTGGCACCTATGACAACACCAGGTTCGCCTAAAGTGGGCCAACCAGCCTTGTCCACGCCACAGCTCACCCGGACACAACGCCCTATCGGGCGCACCTGCTGCGTCAGAGGTTCCCAGCTGCCGGACCAGCATGCCCCACCAAGGACTGTTGAAGGGCCGCCTAGGTGTAGGGCATCATCAATCTGAACCTGCGTGGATGTAGTGGTAGCTGCCGGCCTCGGCGTAGTTGAGTTGCTCGGTCCACATGCAGTGTGTCGAAATACTCCTCCCAATTACACTCATGTTGCTCAGCTGCAAGATGACTCTGCCCGCCGCCGTGAATAGAACCTTCAACCGCACCACTGGCACCACCCATAAAACCACTTGCCCGCGCAAACTCAATCGGTGGAATCTCAAGGCTCTTAACCTGTATAACTTGAAGTTGGTCATGCAAACCGACCTTTGCCTCATAACACTGAGACCGATGCAACTGCTGACGCTGGTATCGTATGAGCTTTCGGAATTGCCAGCGACTCATGTCAGAAGCCATCTTTTGTCTCCAGGTGCGCTTCATTGGCTTCGGGTGCCTAGGGCTCTGCGGCTCTATTGCCACATCTGTGGCCTTGAGCCCTCACACCAGCGAGAGCAGAATCATTCGACCCGAAAGAAGGGTCAACCGCGCAATACTCCACTGCCTCTTACCGTAGACGTGGAGATCCACAGATGGGATTGGGTGCGACCTAGACCCTAAACCCTAAACCCTACACCCTCAAACCTGAACCCTAAACCCTCAACCCTCAACCCTCAACCCTGAACCCTAAACCCTAAACCCTTAACCCTTAACCCTTAACCCTAAACCCCAAACAAACCCTAAACCCTAAACCCTAAACCCCAAACCCTAAACCCTAAACCGAGAGCTTGCTGCAGCCTCCAGCCGCTGACTCCGACGGTTCGCGCCCGGCTCGGCCTCTGGCCCAATAAGGTTGAGGATTTAGGGCTTCGAGTGGGTTAGGGTTTAGGGTTTAGGGTTTAGGGTTTAGGGTTTAGGGTTTAGGGTTTAGGGTTTGGGGTTTGGGGTTTAGGGTTTAGGGCTTAGGGTTTGGGGTTTGGGGCTTCGGGTTTAGGGTTATTGAGGATTTAGGGCTCAGAATAGGTCTCCCCAGTAACCTAGGAAAGGGTGCACATGTTGTCAGGGGTGGTAAGGGAACAAAAAGCCTTGAATAAGGGCGCACTGGACGTCCTAGAAGCTCGCTCTCAAAATATTCTTGTCTTTGGGTTTAGGGCTTTGGGGCTTCGGGGGGTGTTAAGCTTTGTTTGGGCTTTGTGGTCTAGCCTTTCGTTGCTTTCAGGAAAGCGTTCGCAAGTCGGGTATCAATGCAAAATGTCCTGCAAAGCATGGCAAACCCCGCAGCTTCCTGAACCCTCTGTATGGCAGCTTCCGAGAATGAATGGGGGAGGGGGGCACCCTTGGTTAGACGGGCCCCCATTTTGGGAAACGCATACGAACCTTCTGGCTTGGGATAGCTACCCCGAAATGAAAGCAGCCGCGAAACGACAATAAGTCAGAGAACTGTACAAACAGAAGGATACCCCTAAACCCTAAACCCTAAACCCTAAACCCTAAACCCTAAACCCTAAACCCTAAACCCTAAACCCTCCTAAACCCTAAACCCTAAAACAATCGTGGGAATCTTGTCAGCAAAGTAGGCACATAAGCGTGGCAAGTTCCGATCACAATCTTCTTCCTGGAGTGACAGGAGCTTTTAGGTTTAGGGCTTAGGGTTTTGCAAAAGCTTAAGGCTTACAGGATTTAGGCAAGCCCGCCAATGTCGGCTTGATAGCCTTAAACCCCGAAGCCCTCCTTACGTGAATACCTCTCTAACACCTAGTCTCTTTCTGTGGGAATTCCTTGTAAACAACGGCCCCGTACTCAGATACTTCGGGAACCCTGCCGTTTCCCTCTACCGAGCCCTACCGAGCCCCACTGTACCACCCCTGAACCCTGACACCCCAGTGGGACCCTAATTCCCCAAAACCTTCATTACCCTAAACCCTAACTGCCCTAATTCCCCTAAACCCTAAACTCTAACTGCCCTAAACCCTAATTCCCCTTGAAACCTCTAGCCTCGCCGAGATCTTCCTGAAGCGCGGGAGGCTCCATCGTCGAGGAGAGGAGTTTCGCACGTGAACTTCTAGAACTCTGGGGGCTCAGGATATGGGCTCGGGGCTTTAGGGTTTAGGGTTTAGGGTTTAGGGTTTAGGGTTTAGGGTTTAGGGTTTAGGGTTTAGGGTTTAGGGTTTAGGGTTTAGGGTTTAGGGTTTCATCCCAAACCCGAAGCAAAGGCTTCTCAGGCATAGGCTGAGGACTCAGCCTGGAACCACCTTGAAAGCAACGAGGGGTTTATGTCTTTTTGTTTTGTTGTTACTATTGTTATTCTTGCTATTCTTGTTATAACTCATGTTGCTATTATTGTCATGGTTCATGATGAGTTTTGTTGCTTTCTGCTTTTTTTCCTTGCGATGGCTGTCAGAGGTCGTCGTCGTCGTAGGCGTAGTCGAAGAGTAATCGCACTTGTAGCCGCCGCGTTTAGCCGCTCAGTAGGCCCACCCCCTTCTCCTCCCCGCCCCCCTCCCCCCCACCCTAAACCCTAAACCCTAAACCCCAAACCCTTAACCCTTAAACGCTAAACCCTAAACCCTAAACCCAAAAACGAAACAAAAAACAAGAGAGAGAGAGAGAGAGGGGGAGCGATTCTCCGAAATCCCAAGACCCAAAGGTCGCAAAACAAGAAACCTACAAATACCCTAATTATAAGACCCCTTCCAAACCCTAAGGCCCTAAACTTTCGGGGCTTAAGCCTCAAATCATAAACCCAAAACCCGAATAAAGCCCGAAACGGTTGAGTTAACGCCAAACCCCAACTGAACCCGTACCCATAGCAAGTGCTGCTTTTGCGCCTTGCCGCTGGCCGCAGGAATCGTGCCAAGCAGGCTGGGAGGCTGCACTACACCGCGCGTGAGGCTGTCTCTAGGAAACTTTAGGGCAGGGCCTCTTGGGGGCTAAGGGGTTTGGGGTTTAGGTTTTAGGGTTTCGGGTTTAGGCAAAAGGATTCCCTAAACCCGAACCCACCCGCTAGTTCTGAGGTCTGGGTCCAAGGGCGAGCCTGTAGTTCCGAACTCTCCATATCGTGTCATCGTGCCCTCGCGCGAGCTACGCCGGCTAACGGAGCAGCGTGCGAACAGCAACGCCGCAAAAAAGGGGGTGCTAATAAGGAAGTGGCAGAGCAAGTTCAATCTCTCAGGATTTACCATGTCGGGCTTTGGGTTTAGGGTTCAAAAACAGGGTTCAGGGTTCAGGGTTCAGGGTTTAGGGTTCCCAAACCAACGCCCGACCTAGAAACGTCCCTGGGTCTCTCGGCCATCTGGGTTCAACTTGTCCGCCTTGGGCCGGCTTTGCGACCACTTTGTCCACGTTTGGTTGTCCATGGTGGAAATTACGAAAACGCTCACACGCGCAACTTGCTGGCCCCTTGATTGGGAGGTGGGAGGCGGGGGTTTTAGGGTTTAGGGTTAAGGGTTAAGGGTTTAGGGTTTAGGGACAAGACCGAAACCGCAAAGCCTTCTTGCTGTGCCCTCCCCGCCCGTACTCCCAAGCAAATGAGGTCAGCAGAACACTACCGCCTCAGGGCACGAAGATGTGTAGAATGGACCTGGGGACATGAGTTGGGCCGGTAAGAGGTCAGAGAGTCAAGAGGTGCTATAGGGGCTCGTTGTTCTAAGATTCCAAGCCCTGAGCCTCCTAAACCCTAAACCCTAAACCCTAAACCCTAAACCAGTC